AGTTGTAAGTCATGCAGAAGATAGTACTGAATTGAGATACATGTACATAATGGTTGGAATCTGAATGACTGGAAAAGAAAACTACATATTAGATGATTAGATATTAATACTGGCATTCATGGTAGCGCATTAGACTGAGATACATTTTTTCTGGATCTAAATTCCCTGTTAGGAGACAGACTGCAACTATTGTGCTTTATTTTTATTACCTCTCCAACGCATCCATAACCTGTCACCTAGTGATGTGCATTGCACCGTGCTGTAAGAGTAATAATTAATGAGTTCAGGCAAAGACATTTTCTGCAGTTTTCACCTTAGGTCCAGCCTCTCCAGTTTTCTGCCAATTTTCAGAAAGTTCACACACACACACACACACACGCACACACACACACACACTCAAATCGATATGCTCTCAGATGCTGAATACAGTAATCCTTATTTAGACAGATATATGAAATAAATATGTTCAACAATAGCCTATACAAAATCCAGATTTTACTTATTAAAGTAATTATTTATGCACATGTGAAAATGAGATATACAAATACTGGGTATATGCAGAATTCTTCAGAGAATTCTAAAATGGCATACAGTTTGCATAACATATTTGTGCTATACAAATCCTGATTTTCACATCAAACAGAAGGGAGAAAATTTTTTTAAGAAGCCTTTATTGCCATGCCAAAACCTTCATCTCCAAGGCTTTTTACAAAGCTGAACTAGTCAATTTGTAATTAAATCTTATAGGATATAGCAGTGATACTCATTACAGAAAAGGCATTTTATAGTCAGCAATCTTATTTTCAACTAACAGGATGACACAAAAGTCACAGTTCACAGAAGCTTTATGTCTGTTATTTCATGCTGGAATACTGCTGCACAAACCAATTAGCCAGTGTAATAGTGTCAAGATGTATTTAAAGAAAAAAATGGATCTGGCAAAATGCCTCTGCCTTTCTCGTATTTATAAGTACCTGTGTATTACCGAGACAATAGTTTTACATTTGAAGGGCCAGCCTTTTGGGGTACTAAGAAATAAATCTCATAAGGCACTTGGACTATATATAATTAGTGGAATTCCCATTCCACGAATAAAATTTCTCTTACAGTTGGAAACCAAAACTGAATAAAAAAACCAAAACTGAATAAAAATTAAAAAAATTAAAGCCCTTCAGTTAGTGCATCCATTAAGGTGCATGGAATGAGAGAATACAACGGTTTTGGTAGACAGCTGAATTAAGGCAGCAATGCACTGATGGTAGTCTGAAGGTTTTTCACATCCATAAGTGCTCATAAGCATGGTCTATTTTGAGGGGTTTTTTTTGTCTTTTTGTTTGGAAGAAAACTCATTCAGGAATATTACAGAAAAAGGAGGGGAAGTGGGAGAGAAGGAAGAGTGAAGGACTAATGAAAGACTTGAAGGGGGATGAATTTACTACCTTAAATTAGGCACCAAGTTCTGATTCCCAGAAAACTTCTTTCAGCAGATTCTTGTAGATTTCCAGGTAACTGAGATCTGTATAAAGTTTTACACAGGAGTGCTGAATGTTTGTACAGCACATCTATTATTCAAATCTGTGAATAAGGATGCCACTGGATTCTCAAAAAGCGACCGATTCACGCAAGTTCTACTAAAATGAAATTATAAAATTCAGTCCCATTTTTAAATAGCAAGTAAATTTCAAAAATAATAAAACTAAATAAACAAAATATGTAGGAAACCGTCACATGGCAAATACTTGTCCTGTGACTACATGACTTTTCTAGGAAGATGCAAAGAACTTTAGAGTGCTGCATCTCCGTAAGCAACCTCAAGAACTGGAAGTATGAACAGAAAAAACTATTTCGTCCCAGATCCTGACTACTAGCTCCTCTCTTTTTAGTGTCATGGTTTGAGATCTCAAAATCCAATTCTGATTCCTAGCCCCCCCCCACATCTCAACCCCGTGTGAGATGGGTTTTCCAGACAAAAACACAAGATTCAATATGGGGGAAGGAATATATTACAGGACTGTACAAATAAATAAATACTTATACTATAATACATTACATATAATCTTAACTCTATTTCTATCTCTACCATGACAATAATATTTACAGTGGGCCAAATATCTTCTCCCTCCAAATAAAAGTCCAGGAGAGAAGAAGAAGAAAAGACCCCTTCCAGTCTCTGAGCAGCAGGTCTCTCTAGGCAGCAGGCTCTCTGTGTCTTTCATGAAGCAGTTGCAGCTGGATCCTTGCCAATGCATACAAGGGGGGGTCTCCAAGCCCCTCTCGGCCCCTCGATGCCAAACGAAGGGTCTTTCCGTGGGCTGCTTCACCCCAGACAAGGTTGCTCCACCATGGTCATATCACGAAGCACAGGGGTCTTCGTGACGGTCTGGTATCCTCAGGGGAATCCAAGCCCCTTCACAGAGCTTCTGTGCTCTGACTCAAAGATGGCTGCCAGCTTCTCTGAAGCTGTAGCAGGGGGGGCCAAGGTCACCCTACACACACACATTCCTTTGGCCGTCCTGGCTTATCTCTCAGGAGGCCGGAGCTTCTTAGCTCCTCTCTGCAGTGCATGCTGCACTCCAAGACTCTTTCAAGTGAGTCCAATCATCCTCCTCTCTCTCAGAGGAGTCTCCAAGGGAGTTTGGGGGTTTTGGTTATTCAGTTCTTACCCCCCGAAACTCTGTCTCTGCAGTGGTGCGGTTCTCTTGTCCTGCTCTCTTCTGCTGACTCTTTTCTTTCTTTCCTTGCAGGAGTTTCTCTCTGTGTTGCTGCATACTTGTTTGCTGCTTCTTTGGTTCTTATCTGCTTGGCTCTCTGCCACTGCTCTCGGACGCTGCTGTCCCTGCTGCTCCGTCTGCCCACTCACAGTGGAGAAAACTCCTTCAGCTTCTCAGACACAGGCACTTAGTCCAGTTCTACACCGTCCAAGTCCCCATAGCCCCCCAGCCGGGGGCTGGAGGGGGGGGGCAAAGCCCCAAGAGGCTCCGAGCCCCTTCCTCGTGGCCTCACAACAACATGGCCACCCTTCTTCAACAACCAGTACCACTGCTTCTTTTCCGGTCTCCAGAGATATGCTTATATTTTCAAGGAGCACTGATTGGGTCAAACCCCAAGGGTCACCACCCCCTGGGGGTTACCACTTTCTGAGTTTCAGGGGGAAAACCTGGCTAAAACCACTACATTAGTCAGTGTGGAGGACAGTTTCAGTCTAAATCTGTAGGTAAACCTCATTTGGATATTCTCTTTGCCTCTCACTTCTCTTATCATGACAAGGAATTTACTTTAGACTTTTATCGAAATATCAATGTATTTACATAGCAATTTCTTATTATATTCTGCTATGATGGAGCAGTGACACTTTTTCCCCTTTTAATATTCAATACTGTTTTAATTGGCTGAGCATTTCAGTTTGACATTTAAGCAAAACAGTAATTTTTTTATATATTCAAAAAGGACAGCCAGGTATATTTGTGAACACTAAAGAAGCATTATAGCAGGATAACATAGGCCGAAAAACCAAGACCACTGCAGAAATGAAAAAAGTTAAAGCTATTTTCAGACATGGAATTATGGAGGAGCAATTCTACTTCATTCAGAAGGAGGTTTATACCTTCATCTCTTTCTTTTCTTTAGAAAGAAATGAAAATACCAGGCTTAAAGAAATAAAAAAATGGAAATATTACTGTGGAGTTACCAGATAGCCCATCTTTCTGATGGTTTATGGAGCAGAAGAAGAAAATGGGAATTAGTCAGTGAAACACTATTTCTACAACTAGCACTCTAACTGTAACTTTCTAGATTACTGCTGATGTTCTAAAGAGCTAAGAAAATCATGTACATTTTTTTTCATTAAGTAGCAATGTAGTTAGAACAGATAAACTTCCTTTTCCTTGTGCCTAGTTTTCTTTTACTTTTCATGCATTACATAGAAATGAACACATATGGAATAAGAAAATTAAAAAATCCAAACCCATCAAATGAATGACACAAGCATTGAAATAATATCTATGGTATTTAGGTGACATTTTCCAGATTAAAAATGTACATAAAAATGTTAGCCAAAAATATTTTCATCTTAAAAGGAAAAACATTGTATGAATTACTGTGTAAAGATTTTTTGGTATTTAGTAAGTTTAACGTCTTTAGCATTACATGCTCAGAAGTCCACTGACACAGAATGTATTACGTTTCTAAAGGAGAAAAAATGTTGGCTTTTCATGAGATGCTGTTTCCTGTTCAGTATTTGAAACTCATGCTTGATTTGCAAGTGTTTAACTAGACATAAGTTTCCGTTTTGTGTTCTTAAAAAGGAATTATGAATTTAACAATTTTAAAAGAATTATGTCTCCTTAAGTGCTTTTAAATGCTGTATTTGTTACCACTGTTTATTAGATAGACACAAAATGTTCAAGGTCATGATTTGACTTACATATTTTTCATTTAAAATACTGTGAATTCTAAATGATTGATCTAATAAGCTGTCTTTCATAAAGCCTTAGTAAGTACTACGATAATAAAAATTTCATTTAACCGTGGAAGTGGTGGGGAAGGAGATACAGGAATAATTCTTAATCCATGAAGTATAAAGTTTGTCATTTGGTCTACAATAAACTGTTCTTGTAAAGAGGTAAGAAACTAATTGCATCTTGTTTATGCTTCATCCTAATATAGAACATTCACTTCTCAACTGAAAATAATGAATTGATTTCTGGATATATTTTACTGCCATAAAGACTGAGAGTAAAAAATTTTAAAATACCAGAAATGTTGGTCTTATGTTATAGTTTACATGTCCTTTATTACATTAATTTCATACCACAAGTTGGGAAGAGGCAGCAAATTATAACAAAGCATCTTTCTAATACCCTGTCTTAGTTATAGGGAAAGGAGATGGGGTTTAGCATTAGATGGATGTGACCAATTATGTATTCTATCCCATTTCGCCATTTTTGATGGACCATCTCTTTAAGCACAGGAGGCAGAACTGTTTCTGTTGGCAGTTTCTACTTCAGCTGTTACTGTAGCCACCACTCCCACCAACTCAAAGGGGAAAGATCCTACCAAGAGAGAAGGGCCCATCCTGCCACAAGCTGTTTCTCTAAGCACTTTTTGTCACGGCTGCAGACTGGCGCCATTACTTTTTGCAGTGGCTGTTGCCTTTGGCTCACCCCACAGACTGAGTGAGAGCCTGCAGTCTGCTACTGTTGGCTGTTCTCTCACCACATATGGAAAGTAAGTTGCAACAAAAATATAGTTCGGGTCAATGTGACCTTTATCCATTGAAAATGTGCTGATTGACTTTTAGAAAAAATGCATTATTTTAAAATTAAAGGTTATTCACTTTCAAGATCAGGAGTTCTAGAAGATTTTAGGAAAGTCTTAGGCTTGAATAAACCTACACAAAAATATGCCCTAGATTTATCTCTGTTGTTCAACAGCACATTCCCCTGACCCCAAAAAAGAGGATCTAGTGAAAAAGAAAGAAATTTAATCTATCTTTAATATATAATAATTTCAACAAAAACCATTGCTAGCAGATACTGAAAGACTCATTAGGAGTCTTGACACAATGATTAGTTGCTATTCAGTGACTATATCAGTTGGAGACATAAACTATCCATTGAATGACTGTTATCTCTCTACATGATATTAAACAAAAATTCAGTTTTTCCCAAATAATATTAAAAAAACGTAATCTAGTGTAAAATCTCCTAATTAGTTGTAGGTTTCAGTTGCAAAATTCTTGATAGAAATAGTTGTATGAATACTGTTCCATCAGGTAGCATGGTCTTGACGACCCCTGAATGTGACTTGCTCCTAGTGGAAAGCAAGTTAATGCTCTACTGCACATAGAATAGTATATATGAGTGAAAAAAGAATCCCCAAAAATAAACAAAAAAAATCTGTGCTGGATAAGAAGACAGACTGGGAAAGATATGTTGCCTGGAAAAGCATAAATGGGATCTAAAGGGACCTGTTACTTACTGGATAATTCACCCACCAGACTGACAGTTTTTCCCCAGTCTATTGTTGTGTGTTTATGAATTCTTATGCACCTCAGTTTATTGTTAAATTTTATGAATTCTGTCCTACCTCCATATTGTTTCTCTTTCTCCCTCAGGTTTTCCCTCCAAAAGTTGTTTGTCACCCTGTCTCCCCAGTTTTCCCGCTCCTCTGCTGCTTATTGGTCACAGCCTGCCACCATGCAGGGAGAGCTACCATTGGCCCATTCCCTCAGAGACCTGGGAGTTCCACCCACCTTTCCCCTATCCCCCTATCACACTTTTCCCTGAGTTGTCAACCTCTTGCGCCTCCCCAAGTTAGAATCCACCCCTCAAACCTACGTTATTTAAACCCTTGTTTCCCTTAAATAAAGCGGCATTGCTGCACGAGACCTCAACTGTCAGAACCCTTATTGCAGTGCCCGGTCCCATTTCCTTTTTCCCCACGGACTGTGGCAAAAATCTCCCACCAAAATAATTACTGACAGGTACACCTGAATAGGACTGCTTATTAGTCACTTCTCTGCAGCCAGGCAAGATTGTTTCACCTCAGTTTAAAAGATAAAGACTCATGGCAGGCTGTCTCTGCAAGTTCTCATTAGGCAAACAGCCTCCACTGTCCATTAGAGGAAAAGTCTCCCTATTATTTAAGGAAATGTGACAGCAATGGAGGTGAAGTGATGGCAGGAAATTCATCGGTGCATTACTAAGCTTTTTGCTTTCTACAACTTTCACCAGCCTCTTTCCACTGTTTTATCTGACAGCTCAAATGCCGCAGGGTTGTAGTCATGGCAAAGGTCAAGAACAACAGCAGGGCTATAAAATGAGATTCTTTCAGGGGGGAGGCTGCCAAGCACAAACAAGTTTATTGAGCACAAGACAATGAGATGAGAGCTCACATCTCAAGAAATTTATCTAAGTAGCTACCATTATTTTTGAAAAAACATTAAGAACCTTAAAAAAGATTTAGAACTTTTACATACTCTCTGAAACCTAATAAAACAAAGGAATATTAAAATACCTGTCATAACATAAATATTGGATAGCCACATTTATGTTGAGAACCATTGTAAATATGCATAACTAATAAGTAGTCTCTGTAAAAAAAAACCAACCTCCTATGTCAGTCACAAACTATTAATTTAAAATATCAATAAAATAATATACGGATTATATCAGGCTCACTTGCTGCATATACAAATGTCTTTTACTAAAGACTAATTTAATTGAGCATGATGCTCAATTAAAAAATAAACAGAAAATGCCTTCTTCCTTTAATAAAGACAAGGTTTGCAATGCTACAAATGTCAAGTTTAAAGCTAAGAGTTTTGCTATATCTTTAATGTTTCACAATCAGTGGAACAGTAAGGTGAATTTGAATTACTTTTCACAATGTCCAATGTCTCTTATCTAGTCAAGGAACAGGTTCGGTGTCTGAATAAAAAAACACAACTGAAATTCTTGCTAAAACAAAGAAGACTAAGATGGTATCTTAGCTTCCTATTCTGCCAAAATGTTGATTTTTACACATATGCATATTCAGTGTATGCAAGGAAAAAAAGAATTTAAAAAAATATGATATAGTCTCTGCATGCACATTCATTCAGATATGATTTTGACAATAGACCAAAAACTGACTATTGTCAGCATCTGACTACTATTATAATGCAGACATCACATAAAAACATACTCTAAAGCAAGTCACCCATTAAACGTTATTAGGCTAAAACACCAATGGTTTCAGATATATGCACAGTTGATCAACATTTTACATTCTCCAGATCGTATATTAAAACATATGATTCAAGCAAGAGTAGTTGTAGTGGATTGACCATGATGGGATAAATAATTCTTATTCTTAAAGTGGTTTTACGTGATTAATTTTTCCAACTAGTCTCCCCTCATGCAGATAACTGCACAATATGTTGCTGGATGAGATAAATAACATCATGTTTAGAGACCTGGGATTATTCTGATTTTCATTTTTAGGTTTCATACTTATATTCAAGACTAGATGAGATGTTTAAATTGGGAAGCTTGGATGAAAAATTACTTATGTTCTGTTTTGAACATATGTCTGTGTTGTTTTGTATTCATCTAAGGAAGTACATGCTATTATTCTACCTTTATCTATTCTGCATTCAGACCGTAACAATTATAATAATAATAATAATTGTAAACTATTCATAATTATGTTTAAATTTGAAATATTGTCATAAGCTATTTTAGACAAAAGATCTGATTTTGCAGAGAGAAACTGAATTAATATATCTTGAAACTCAGCATGCATTGATTTCTATTGCATTGTCTGCCAAATTGTTTATCATTTGTCACTGTAATTTTATGTGTGTATACTGATCCCCCCATAATACTTAATGGAGGTACAGAGGAAAAGAGAAGCAAATGATCTACACAAAGAAAACAGTAAGACTGATGTACTGAACAGTCTTTAGAGGAAAAAGGAAATCCTGTAAAAACACTATCAGAAAAATAAAGGTTTACAGGAAAAAAAATTTTAAAGAAAGTCTCAATAAGTGATATCTAGAGTGGTATAGTGAAGAAAAAAGTGTTGTATAATTATCTAAAGTTGCTGTAAGAACAACATGTTGAGTAACCAAATCTAACTAGAGATATATATAAAAGATATAACACATTAAGTAGAAAGCATTTCTGTCTCTAGAATAACTTGTATTATTCAAAATCAAGGAAGAAGAGAAGTTCCATTTTGTGTCAAAGAAGCTTTCACACACAGAATTTCTTAAAACACTTAACAGTATATTGGTAATTTTTATATTGATAATTGTAAAAATACTAAAATATCCCAGAAGATACAAAATCATACAAAGTATTACCTGCTCATGTTGGCCATATGAATCCAGATATAAAATTAGTTACAATATTTTAAATGTGCTTATAAATATTTCAATTATAGCATTTTTACTTTTCCATGCAGAAATTAGTGTCTTTGAACAAGTAATGCCAGGCTATGGCTAAGACTCCATGAAAAACATTTTGCTAGGTTGCAACACATAGAAAAGAGATATGAAATTGAGCTCATTGGCTGAAAAATCAACCTCTTGGTTATCTGGTTCAAGAACCAAGGCACAACTGATTTCTAGTAAGACCCTTAGTTTTACTCTGGACCTTGATAGGAAAAAATAAAAAAAAAATGCTTAAAAACAGAAATTGAAACTTTTCCAACTAAATTCATTGTGCTTATTACACATACAGTTTAGAGTGAAGAAAACCCATATCAGAATGAATCCTCAGCAACAGTGTAATTGCTGTGTGTCTTCCAGCAAAGTTCTCTCCATTCTAGAGTCTACAAAAGGAGGGTCCCCATCTTGTCTCATTCTTAAACATATTCCAAACAAAAGTAAAAAATGCAGTTACTACAAAGACAATAATAATAGCATGATACAACCAGCTGGACTTTTAAAAATAGAAGTACATTTTTATAATAGGGATGTAAGTCATCCTTCCCCATTAGCACTGCCTGTTGTGAGACAGTTTTGTTTGTGACCAGAAGTCAGACCCGCATCTGTCCCATTTTGTCAGCTACTAAACACAGCAGAAGTATTCATCCTGCTGCAATGCACACTGCAGCCTATCATTGAACAATTAGGCATAAAAGATATCTATAGAAGACTGGAGGTGTAAAATACATAAGCACAATTTAGATTTTCTATGTATATCGCCAGTTCAGTAAAAGTGCTTAGATTATGTGTTATAGGCACTTACATAATTATGTTACAATATTTACATAAATTATATCCAAAGTAGTCATATGGTCCAATACTTATCCAATGGGATAAGTATCCTGGATTGCTGCCAGGTGGTCACCCACCTGCTCTTTCACTCCCCTTGCTCAACAGGACATAGGGAGAAGAGACAGAAAAGCTCATAAGTCAACAAAACAATAGGGAGCTCACTCATCCATTACCATCATGGGCAAAACAGTCTCAATTTGGAGAAAATTAGTTTGATGTATTGTCAATTAAAAAAAGAGTATGATGATGAGAACAAAGCAAAGGCTAAAATACCTTCATCCCCAAATTCCCTCAGCTTCAACTGCTCAGCTTCAGTCTGTCATTCCCAACTCTTCTACCCACTCCATGTCCCCAAGCACTCATGTCTCCATGAGTGGAGGATCAGTCCACAACAGCTCCTCTCTGCCTCCCCATTCTCCTCACACTTTTCCTCTGCGCTGGCACAGGGTCCTCCATAGGCTGCAGCATGGGTATCTGATGCAATGAAATAAAAATTATACCTCAATTATATAAAGAATAAATATTTGTGGTAAAACTGACTCCATTTGAAGAAGCTTTAGTACAATTTGTAGAATAAATTAAAGATGGCAGAGTCATGAAATACCTAAGTTCTAGCAATTTCTTAGAGGTACCACATTTTTTTATGATTGTTAAATCTTTATATTTGTGGCAATAGCATCAATCATAAAAATTCAGTCTGGTATTTTTGCAAATATATAATAGATGTTATCACAGTTATTTTCCATTTTCTGCTAACTATTAAAAATTAATTTCAGATAAGGGTTGTATGAAACACATATTAATACATAAACCAAGATGAAATCTAACTTCGATGAATTTAAGGTATTGCAGGAAGTCACACAAACCTCTACTTAACAGTACTCCATTCCATACCTACGAAGCGGATCTTTAGCTTTCTTTTATAAATAAAAACATAACTTTATAATTGAAATAAATAAATTAGATTAAATAAATAAATAAATACTTAAAATAAATAAAATACCCCCCTAAAAACATATTTTTAGGGTTTAAAGGAACTCAACTCCATTCTGTGTAGTTGGAAAAGTATTGTAGTAAGAAGTACTTTATCTGTGGAAAAAAAAGCCAATGGGCTGGATTTAATTTTTTTCAATGGATCTATATCAGGAAGTACCTAGAACATCATGTTGAGTAACTTTGGTAGTTTATTGAAAAGCTACATGAGCTAATAATCCATGGATGCGTGTCAATGTCAGCATCAGTGATAAGTGAACACAGCTTGCTATGATACATACTGCATCCATCTGCAAGTGGGAGTTACCTCATGGAACTTTTTTAATATCAACAAAACAGCCGTTCATATTTCAATTTCAAAGCTCTGACTTATGGACAAGCATACTAGAAGGCTGTGACAACAGATGAAATTTAAGCTTTATGATGATATTATTCAGATATTATGACAACATGTCTCAGGGAACAAAAACAACGCCCCAAATTTTTGCACATGTATACGTTAAGAAACATTACTGTGTCCTCTATCTTTCATACCATTACAAGTATCTTGTAAAATCTTGAAAGCACTAAAAAGGAGTCAGAAGGAGGTCTTGAAGGTGTGAAGAAAGATAACTAGATTTCTCATTTACATGAAGTAAATCCTAATATAAATTTAAAACATCTCAATGTCAAGGTTCACAAAACAGATGAGACAATTTCAAGACATAAAAACAAAAAGCAGCAAATTATTTAGACAACATAACTCAGGCAACTTATTCTGCTGTTACTTTATAGGAAAGATACTTCATTTTCAGGTAAAGCTGTACGGTCAGCCAGAATGATACTTGTTGTTACATCAATTTTTTATTCTTCCACATCTGAATATATAATTGAAAAGAATGACTGAAGAATAGCTTTTCTCACACAGGAAAGTAGATGAAATATAGACCTTCCTCTCCTGATTTCATTGTTAGAATTTGAAAGACATAGAGCAGAACAATGGCTGTTCATTTTTGCTAAAATCATGGCTTAAAGATAGATTGACCTAATCATTTTAAGCCAATGACAAGAAACTTTATAGAGAGAAATTACTTCTGGCTGAAGATAGCAAAGTGGGTGGATCAGCCTAACAATAGTTATCACAGTTCTTTCCTTAAACTATCTCTAAAAAAAATCATTTTTTTATGGAATGCTGTAACAATCCAATAACTATGAAAAATACTTTTTCTTGACTATTTTAAATAATAGAGATTTATTAAGAATATCAGAGAACTCCCTAATGTTCCAATAATATCAGTGACCGCACAGGAAGTTTAAATTCTTATGTACACACTAGAACATTCACAAATATACAGAGAACTTCTTATTCAATATTATGCACAACAGGGATTAGATAGTCTCTTCCTAAAAGTTTGAAACACAATTCTGATAGTGTGTCTATTTTCACAAGTAGTGGGATGATTACAAGTGGTCAAAGCAATGAAGACCCGACAGCTAAATTATGTCCACTTGGATGGGAAGATTTATATGGTGCTATAGTTAGTTTGACCATCTGGACTAAATACAATCCATGCCAAATTCCCACAAGGGTCAAGAGCTCTCTCCAGGCTGGTGACAGTGGAGGGAACCCGTGGTGGGAAACAGGACAGGTTCTGGCAGACACACTTTCCCAATCAGGAACTGGGCAGCCAGAGGGCACTGTGGCAGTCCCAGCACCTGCAGTGGGCAGCTCCATAGAGAGGGTAAGGATCTGACCTGATGAGGGGAACCAGTGCCTGATACAACCCTAGAGTGACTGTACAGATCTGTGGGAATGGACTTAGGACATCAGCCCACAGACGGAGTGGTATGAAACACCTTTTCTCACAACCACAGATAAAACTACACTTGAAACTTTGGTGAGCCCAGTAGAGAGAAGCTGGCAAAGAAACAATTAAGAAAAATGAAAAATACAAAAAAAATAAAATTAAAGTAGCTCAGTAAAAAGATACAGTAGGCAAGGAAAAGACAAGAACAGGAACTTATATCAAGACAAGAAAAAAACCCTCTGTGGAAGACAAAGGAATTGGCTGTAAAACCTGAGGGCTGGTGACTGACGAATTAGTTTTGTCTTCGTATAGAGCATTTCAAATATGATGAGAGTTCTCAGTGTTTTGAAAACTTTCTTTTTGTATGAGTGCTTGGTAGGCACTGAAGTAAGTGGTACAACCCCTGTATTTTCATTTCTCCTGTCTGCCCTACAAGAAAGAACAGGGTGCTCTGCTGGAATGGATTTTCCAGTTTATTTTAGTCTGAAAGTAATCTTGCTTATTATATACTTTGTAGTCAAAACCAAACACAATAAATGAGAAGGTTCAGGATGTTTATTTCGGAAGTACATTACTGCTCCAGACTAAAATGTTAATGAAGATTCATCTTCTGTCAAATTTTAACTTTGGGAAAACTAGAATTAGTACTAGACAACACTCCCATCACCACGACTTTTCTCTGCTTTTCTGTTGTAGGGCAGTCCCTAGAGAAGCTATGAACTGTCATCATCTTGTTAAAGTATGGAACTCACAAACTGTATTCAAGTATTGGCAACACATACTGGCTCAAAGTCATGAAATTTGGAGAGCACAAGCAAAGCGTATTCAAAAGGAACAGATCCTAATATCAGATACTGTAAAAGTGCAGAATGAGACAAATACAAAGGGACATAAAAAATCTCAGACACATTAAAGAAGAAACAATTGATCAACCGGATAGGAAAATTGCAAAATCAACACAATAAATGCGGTAACTTTAAAATAAACTAATTCATCCACATAATGAGATATGCTTTCTACTCTTCCTACTTTCCACCTTTGCTGTTATTCAGTTTAATGTCAGCAGTATATTATTTATGAACATGCCATTATGAGGTAGCATACGTAATTCTATTGTTAGATACTAAAACAATGAAGAAAAATTACTGTTTTCCATTTCCCTACTTTTTCTTTCAACTCCCTGTTAACAGAACAAAACTTCAATCAGGATAGTAATTTAAAAAAATATCCGTTAGTAAAACCAAAACCATGAATCTATAAACCTAGTAGTCATAGAACTACAGTCAATTATTTTTAGTGATTCGGTATGACAAAAACCCCCACTCTCTATACTCCATATCAATTTAGAAAAATGTGTAGCTAGCTGAACGTGAGACATATTTGTTTTCCTGAAAATATTAGGCAGTCATCTAAGAAAGTAGAGACACAGTACTCCTTCCCAGTAAATTAAATTTTCTGACCTCAGCAAAACAAGACCACACACAGATATTAAAACAGACCACATATTCTTACTAAAAATTAGGCAAAAACTCATAAATAACAGTGTGGACTTTTTGAGTATGTAATTCCCAAAGATCTTTTAGAGAAATTATATCTTGAAAAACCATATACTATTTAAATTCTTGAGGTTACTTTACTTCAGTTTCTGTCTGCCAATGGTCTGTTCTGTTCCTCTGTCCGACAGTTCAGAGTATTTTATATTTTGTTTGAGAGATTGCTGCATTTTAGAATTGGATTTTTCTGTTCTTCCCCAGAACTGTCAGCAAATTGATAGATATAAGCAGAACTAGCCTCAAAAATTCAAGAAAAACATCTGCAGAGCACATGCTCTGAAATTATTTTAAGAGATATTCACTTTTTTGAGATTGAGTTCTGCTTTCCAAGTAAGAGAATGCCTGCTTCGCAGCCTGGGGTTAACCACCTCTGTAGATAAACTCTTGTGCTTAATGTTCCTCATTAATTAACTCCAGGCATACCCTAATGGGAATATTAGGTACATAGACTCCCATTAGTCAACAGAGCAAGGTAGAGTATTTTGTCTTCAAATTGTTTTGCAAAGCAGTGTACTTCTCTTCACAGAGCAAGGTCATTGCCTGCCTACAGAGGACATCTGCTTGATAACAGAGTGTATAGATCCCTAATGTGCGACTTTTGAAGCCTCAAATAGAATATAGCTGCCTTTATAATTATGAAAATTGAGAAAAGGTACATTTTCATATTCAATTGACTGTACTTTTCAGAAACATCAAAAATCTTTTTAAACTAATCAAATTCATTTTTCAGGGGTGGTGGATACAAATTTCTGGACATCCAATCCCAGTCAAATTTACTTGTAGGCTTTCAGTTAAGCTGATAGAACATACAGATTTGCCTACATTAAAAACAAAATGTTCAGAATCCTCAAAAATTATCTAAACAAGAATTACAGATAATAAGAGAAAACATGTGCAGGTAATTCAAAGATGATGACTGTATTTCTGTATATCATTGGCACATTTTCAAAAACTGTCAAAGTTCCGAAAGGCAAATTTTTTTAGTTTTAATTCTGTATAATCAGCCTTTTGAATTCTGTATTCAGATCCCAGATGAAGAATATTCTTAAATCTCCAAGTTTACTGCACATGCAGAGAAAATAGCACATCTCATACAACCAGTTAGAATGGTGTGGATTTATTTATGCATATAGACACAGATTATTAAATATAATTATCTATCTAGCCATCAGCTTCATCTAACATAGTTCCAACATTTTAATTGGAATTAAGACTCATGAGACTGTGCCTTATTGATTCATTAACAACTGCATCAAGTGTACTGTCAAGCATAAGGCTAAAGTTTGCATACTTCGAGCCTCCAGAGAGATTTATTAATAAATCACTTCTAAAAAACTCAGTGTAGGTCATTATTACAATATGGCATAGAATTATTACATATGGCTTATTAAAATAACATATAACAACATCTTTGGAAAATCTTCCAATTGTTGAAAACAACTCTCAAGGGAGGAAATTGACAAGTTATATAAAAAGACAGGTGACACTCAGAAACTGGGACCTGAGTGACTGAGACTTTCTTGCACTTAGACTGTGAGGGTGTAAAACCTCTTGGTTCCTTTGTTTGGGGTTCCTCCTCAGAGGCACCCAGCTCAAGCTTTTATTTTTTTTCTTAGTTATTGCAACAAAATCTAACTATTTTTAGGATCGAGATGTCTGAGACTCTGCTATAGAAAATGTGGAGTTGAGCTGTTAAGGAAACCTGGTCTGACTGTGTGAGCTTGGGGTGTAGCTGTGAAGGAACTCTGGTCCCAGCTCAGATGGTGCGAGTGTCAGAGTGGCTCCTGGATGGTCAGACAGAGAAGTTTCCTTAATGCATAAGTCCACTACCGAGACTCAGCTAAATGTAGGTGTACACAGACAGGTCCACTGCCTACCTGATATCCCTGCCTGGACCTTGGTACCACTACTCTCAGCTGGTCCTGCTTGAGGTTTGCTAGCAAATTGCACATACACAGGTTCAGAGAAAGCAAGACACCTTCCTCCCTTGACAGCCAGCATCAGGCACATGGGCTATGAGGCACAGTCCCATTTCTCCCATCAGTGCTGAGCCCCCCACTCATCCCAGTCACACCAGTCCCTCACAGTAGCTGGTTTTTTTGGGACACACATTGTTGTGTCCCCTGTGTCAGGTGGCTGAGACTCTCATCCACTTCAGTTGCTGACACTGAGAACCCTACAAACTCCAGTAGTTGATACCAGGGCCTCTACACCCTGATTGGACTCTAGTTGCTGACACCAAATCAATTCACACTCACCAGCAACTGGCGCTAACCTTTACAATACTCACATGCACAGAGGGTGAGATTACATGAAAAGAGAGCTAAAAAAACATTTTAGAAGAAGATGGGAGAGATGATCATATGCAGGGCTTGATCAGACAAGTGTACTGACATGCAATTGGCACCTTTTATATCCCTGATCCCTTTCCCCTAAATATTCCCTAGTAAACTTTGAAGACCCTCACAGAACCAGTAAAAATCCTCATATTCATCGTACTTTCCCTTTCTTATCAGTTGCAACATCCACATAGCCTTCTCTAAAGCTCTGCCCGAGGTTTTGTAAAGATCTATCTGTAATTAAACATGGGCTTTTGTCCTCTGCCACAGTTTCTGTTATCCCTTGCTGTCTAATATGTTTGTGTCTGTCTGTGTTCTTATCACTGCCCCCTTTATTTATTACGCCCTTTTGCATTGAAAAGGCCCTTGATTATCAGAGAACATCGACGAAGCAGATGCTTTCACCTTTACCATAATTTTACAGCCTTATTTAACAAATTCCAGATTACCCATCTGCCTTTTTGACTTCCACCTCTGACAATAATGCTCAACAGGAAGCCACAAAAGGAAAATAAATTTTTGTTCAGCTGAAGAGCCAATTGCACCTGTCTCTTTATGAACAACTAGATAGATTCCCCACTAACACCTCCTCTGTTATAATTCCTGTTTTATAACCTCTCCACATTTTATTATTGCTTTCTCTATACTCATAGCATACAGACATACAGTCTGTCAATATTTCAATCTGTTATGCAAATACTGACATTCATCATTGGCTAACTTGAAAAATTAAAGAAAACACCATTTTTCTCTGCTTTTGTGGGAATTTTCTTATATCCCTTTAACAAGCTAACACCTACTGAATGCCAAAAGGTCAGACGTAATAATTTCAGGTTCCTGCCTACAGTTCCTTTGTGTCTTTTTCCTTTCACATGTGCCAACCATATGCTCACTTAATGAATCCCTTCTTTACCTTATCTCACCTAGACTTTGTATCATCGTTTTGAATCCAAGACTTCTGCTTGACATTTCCTTCACTGTTTCATTATTTTTATCCAATACTCTCCCGAATTATCTTAGCTTTCATTTTTCTTTCAAACAGAAAAGAACTTTAGAGAATACCAAATACAATGCATGAATTAATGCAACAAACACACTTTGCAGAAGAGATATCTTGAGTTAGTTACCTTTCAGTAGACTCTATTACTTATCTGTTAATGCTGCCTTTTACACTGTACCCAACGTCATTTTACAGGAAAGCCATTTCCCTCACTGATTTGACAACTCAGTCGTGAAACAATGTTTTTAATTACTCTGTTTGAAAGAACAAAAATTAAATTTTCTTTATGCTCTAACATTGTAGAAGCAACACAATGAACAATAGTAAAAGAAAAGCAAAATCATTGAAACACTGTTTATTTAAAGAGGTAACTATACAGCTAACATGAATGTGTCATTTCATATTAGTAATTATAAAATGTCCCTGAGTAACACATTTTGAAACTCATATCTTAAGTAACTATGCAATGATTTCTCTTGTTGACATGCCCCAATTTCATATCTTTGCTTAGGGAGAAGTCCAAGGGTTTCTTTGCTTTATTTTGCCCTAACATTGACAGCTATCTCAAGAATGATAGTTCAGTGGAAAAGCCACGTTAACTCATTTCTGCATCTGGGAGAAGGAAAAAAGTATTTATACACCTAGACCCTTTTTGTTGTTTCCTATAATCTTGGTACTTTTACCCCAGCAGACCTCTGTTAATCAGGCACAACACCCACGTGGATAACATATCCAAGTTCTCTCTCTATGGCATCCCAAGTGTAAAAAGCAGGATACCATGAATACAGCTTTCTTGTTGCGAAGTGAGAATGGCAGCCAACATATGTTCACTCAGCTCATGTAAAATGAGAGAAGAAAAAACTAAACCAGCTACAGGAGTTATGATTATTTCTCATTCCTCTGTTGAAAAATGTCATGAATGGTATTTTCCTCGACATTAATTTTTTATGAATATAAAAAGTTTATAAAACATTTTTTAAAAAGAGATTAAGGGAGTCAAGCATATTATTTTAGATATTGTTTTAAGGACCTTAAATTATCAAAGACATCCATATTAGGCTGGACATATGAGATGCACCGAAGATTTCTGTTCT